TCCGTCACCTCCAATCGCCTTCGCCCCTCTGGTTGTCGTGGGGTAGCACTTAGGGTTTCTGGTTTCAAAAAACACCTTATTCGGTTCAAGCGGTCCAGTTCAACCGGTTTGGTTTCAAGCGGTTTGGTTCATCCGGTTCAGGTTCGGTTCGGTCTGGTTCGTCACATTCCGGTTCGGTTTGGTTGATTTATACTAGTTCTAGTCCGATTCGTTTGTTTCGGTTCAATTGGTTTGGTTCACTTGGCTCTGTTCAATTGGTTTGGTTTGATTACCTTTCCTCCTTCAGATTTGGTTTGGTCTGTTTCAGTGCAGTTTTTGTTTATGTCCATATTGTTGAAGTTATGATCGGGAAGAAATTAATGGTAACGATTTCTGCGGAAGAGTTTGCTAAATTCCAACAGTATCAAGAGTTATTGATGGCATCATCCTCTGATCCAATTACTGTTATTGCTGATTCAGGTAATACCAATAAATGTCTTATTTCCTTCGCGTCAAAATGGGTCATTAACTCTGGTGCTACGAATCATATGTCAGGTAACCTCAATTTATTTGCTACCTTTTCACCATCTACATCTTTACCTGATGTTACAATAGCGGATGACACCACTTCTCCTGTTCTTGGCTCTAGCACAGTTCATCTCTACAAAACTCTTTCATTGACCTTTGTTTTAAATTTGCCACAATTTTCTTTTAATTTGATCTCTGTCATTAAACTTACTCGTGATTTCAATTGTTGTGTCTTATTCTTTCATGGTTATTGCTTATTTCAGGATCTTACAATGAAGAAGACTATTGGTAAAGGGCGTAAATCTAATGGCCTCTACACGTTTGATACACAAATACCTCCAGCCACCGTTTGCACTCGAGTGCCAACTCCTTTCGAAGAACATTGTCGTTTGGGTCATCCATTTCTCTCCGTGTTAAAGAGTCTCCATCCTCAATTTCATAGTTTGCATTCTTTAGATTGTGAGTCATGTCAATTTGCTAAGTTTCATCGTCTCAGTTCCTATCCTAGAGTCAATACACGAACTAATGCTCTTTTTGAATTAGTCCATTCTGATGTTTGGAGTCCTTGTCCTATTGAGTCCAAAACTGGATTTCGGTATTTTGTTACTTTTGTCGATGATTTCTCTCATGTAACTTGGTTATATTTGATGAAACATCGTTCTGAGTTACTTTATCATTTTCGTAACTTTCATGCTGAAATTCGAACTCAATTTGATGGCTCTCTTAAAGTTCTACGGAGTGATAATGCTAAGGAATATTTTTCTGGTGCTCATGGCTCCTATTTAAGTGAACATGGTATTATTCAACAATCCTCGTGTGTTGATACTCCGTCTCAAAATGGAGTTGCAGAAAGAAAAATAGACATCTTCTCGAAACAGCAAGGGCCTTAATGTTTCAAATGCATGTTCCAAAATACTTTTGGGTTGATGCTGTTTCGACGGCTTGCTTCTTGATTAATCACATGTCTTCGTCAATTCTTAAGGGTGAAATACCTTATCGTACTCTGTGTCCTACGCAACCTTTATTTCCTATTAAACCTAAAATATTTGGTTGCACTTGTTTCGTTCGGGATCCTCCAGCTCACCAAATTAGACCCTAAGTCATTGAAATGCATTTTCCTTGGTTACTCTCGTGTTCAAAAGGGGTATCGATGTTATTGTTCTGATCTCAATAGATATCTTGTCTCTCCTGACGTTACGTTCTTTGAAAATACTCCTTTTTCATCGTCCTTGAGTACCAGTCAAGGGGAGCAGTCACAGGAAGATGATATCTTTCTTGTCTATTCTATTGTCTCTACTTCTACTGAAGAACTTCCTAGCAATACATCTCCCTCTGCGCCTAATCCTTCCCTCCCCACTATTACTCAAGTTTATTCTCGTCGGCAAACTCTTACGGACTCATGCCCTTATACCAGCAGCTTCTTCGACTGTGGATCCAGGAATGAGTGATGACTTTCCTATTGTCCTTCGAAAAGGTAAGCGTAAGTATACTTATTCGATTTCTTCTTTTGTTTCATATAACCATTTATCATCATCTACTTGTTCGTTTATTGCATCCCTTGAATTTGTATCTATTCCTAAAACTGTTCATGAAGCTTTGTCTCATCCGGGTTGGCGGGCTGCTATGTTGGAGGAGATGACTGCCTTAGATGACAATGGTACTTGGGATTTAGTGTTTCTTCCTGCAGGAAAGAAACCTATCCGGGTGTTTGCTGTTAAAGTTCGTCCAGATGGATCAATTGCCCGTTTGAAAGCCCGCCTTGTTGCTAAAGGATATGCACAGACTTACGGAATTGATTATTCTGATACTTTTTCTCGGGTTGCTAAATTGGCTTCTGTCAGGTTATTCATTTCATTGGCATCTATTCACCATTGGCCTTTGCATCAGCTTGATATTAAAAATGCATTCCTCCATGGTGATCTTCAAGAAGAAGTTTATATAGAGCAACCACCAGGTTTTGTTGCTCGGGGGGAATGGAAAGGTATGTTGCCTTCGTAAATCCTTATATGAGTTGAAACAAAGTCCGCGAGCATGGTTTAGAAAATTCAGTCAAGTGATTGAGAATTTTGGAATGAAGAAGATTAAGTCAGATCATTCTGTTTTTTATAAAAGATCTGAGTCTGGTGTTATCTTACTAGTTGTATATATTAATGATATTGTGATTACTAGTAATTATTCATCAGGCATCCTGTCACTCAAGTCCTTTCTTCATAGTCAATTTCATACTAAAGATTTGGGAATGTTGAAATATTTCTTAGGAATTGAAGTAACAAGGAGCAAGAAGGGGATCCTTTTGTCACAAAGAAAGTATGTACTTCACTTGTTAACGAAATAAGAAAATTAGCTGCTAAGCCACGTAGTACTCCAATGATGCCTAATTTACAACTTACAAAAGAATGGGAATCGTTGAAAGATCCTGAAAAGTATAGGAGGTTAGTAAGGAAGCTGAATTACCTTACAGTTACTAGACCTGACATAGCTTATCCAGTCAGTATTATGAGTCAGTTTATGAGTTCTCCTACGACTGACCATTGGGCTGCATTGGAACATATTCTATGTTATTTGAAAGGAGCTCCTGGACGTGGTTTGTTATATAAAGATCATGGTCATCTTAATATTGAATGTTTTTCAAATGCTGATTGGGCAAGTTCTAAGGAAGATAGGAGATAACTTCGGGGTATTGTGTATTTGTTGGAGGTAATTTAGTTTTTTGGAAAAGTAAGAAACAAAATGTGGTGTCACGTTCAAGTGCTAAATCAGAATATCGAGCCATAGCACAGTCGGTGTGTGAATTAGTATGGATATATCAGCTTCTGACTGAATTGGGATTTGGCATCACCACTCCAATGAAACTTTGGTGTGATAATCAAGTAGCTCTCCATATTGCATCTAATCTAGTATTTCATGAACGAACCAAACACATTGAAGTTGATTGTCATTATGTACGTGAGAAAATACAGCAAGGATTGGTGGCTACAGGATATGTGAAGACTGGAGAGCAATTAGGAGATATCTTCACTAAAGCATGGACTGGAGCACGGATAGATTATCTCTCTAACAAGTTGGGCATGATTAACATATATGCACCAACTTGAGGGGGAGTGTTAGAGTATATATTAGTATATTTTACATTCTTTTAAATAATATGTATTCATTTATCCTTTACCTTCCCCTTCTAGGGTTAGGTCAACCTTGTATATTTGTCTATATATAGACTTCAGTAATGAGAATGAGATCTATCGGGTTCTCTCAAACCTTAGTTTCTACATGGATTATTGCAGATTATCATCTTCAAGACTTTTTTTTTTTGAAGGAAACAAATATTTCATTGATGGTACGAAATATACAAAAGGCCACATGGGCAATTACAAGAAAGCCTTCCAGCTTGTAATAAGATTGTTTAGGGAGTAGCTATTAAAAGGTGGAGTAGAAACATTTACACCATCCAATAGCTAAGAGAGTAACTCTTCAAGACATTTATTCAAATTGGAATGTTTTTATCTTGAATGTTTAGTTTTATAACTCTTTGATTGGTTTCCTCCCTTTTTTAAGGAGTTGTATCTTTGAACTTTTGTCTCTTTTCAGTAGTTCAATAAAGGTTTTCTTTCTTGTTAAAAAAGAAATAAAAGAGTTACTTAGACTGTACGGATATGAGATAATATAGTTCCGAAAAGTTCAAGAGAACTAATAGGTATTATGCATACTAACAATGTAGACCTTTTTTTATAGCTTATTTAATGGGAAGTCTAGAATTTAAGCATGTAAGGAGGCAACATGTTCCTTGAATCTCAAAAGTAGCTCGAGGCCTTACATGGCATGTTCAGGTAGTAGAGGATGCAAGGGAATGCCCAAACTACTAGGTGTTGGATCTAGATTCTAAGTCCTAGTCTGAACCCTAAACCTAGAACATTACAAATAGTTTTAAAGTACGACCTCTCTAAGTGTGCGCATGTGAGACCTTGGGCTAAATAAGGGAGAGAATGATCGAGGATACTATAAATGGACCACAAACAAGGAACGACTCTTGGCTGGCTTTCATGATGAAGGGACACCTAAACGGATTGACATCACATCAAAATAGGAGGGATTCTAAAATTGCTGGAGATATTGAATGTCAAGGTCATCAAAAGTTGAATCCATGGTCCAAATCATGAGCTTGGGACATCATGTAAGCAGTCAGCACTACAAACCAACGGCATCCAACAAAAGAGCAATACAGATCTTACAAAAAATCTAAAAGTAAAACCCCAATTATCAACAAAAAGTTTCCAAAAAGATGTGCAAGCCCCAAGGAAAAAACTTAAAGTTTTCAAGCAGTAAGCACCACCAGGACGGAACAAGTCCCAGAAGCCAGAAAGCATAAGCTGATGCAGTAGATATATCAAAATTAAGGTCAAGTAAAGAGACCAATACCTCCCTATATTAAGTTTGCAGATTGCAGATAGTTAAGTAAAATTACATGCTCAAAATTAAATGGTAGTTTTCGAATTTACCTTTGGCTGCGAGTTCCAGTTGCAATGCACTTTACTTTTACATAATTCTCTGGATCCAATGCTTTACCGTCTACTACAGGCTTCAAAAATGTGGCAGCTTCCCAAGACAGAGAACAAACTATATCCACCCAATTTTCACTGTCTTCTCCTGATGGGGGAACACCTACCAATTTAAGAAGATGATGTATAAAAGCCTTGTACTTCCCATTCATAACCTCCTGCATTGCCCTTTGTTTTTCCTCTTTAAACCTATAGCTAACACTGGCTTCATCTACCGAGTGACTAAAAGAACTTGACTTGCTCCATTCTGTGCCGTCACCAAACTCATCATCATCGTCATCGTTATAACCCATCCCACCCTCCATGTCATCCTTCGGGTCCTCTGGTTCTGGAGGATCCCACAAATTAGTATCCATCCAACTAGAATTGTATTTCTCAGTTTCCGTATTAACACCAGAGACATTGGGTGTTGCCTCTTGACTATTACTTGGCATTACATTTTTAACCTCTCTTCCACCAAATTGATCATTGCTACGAAATACTACACTCGAGTTTTGTGACTTCCTGTCTTGCCTATAATTGATATCTTCTTGGCTAATTCCCGTTGCACCTTCTTGACCATCCCTGACAAAATAAAAATAAAGGCAAAGACTAAATAAGAAAAATATGGTAGTTTTGACAAGGAATTTTTCCCTTAGTAAGCTATCTTACCTGATATCTGAATTTGCCTCTATAGAACAATCACCTGATAAGAAATAGAAATGAAACGCATTAAATCATGAGAATTGGGATTTGGGGCGCAAAACAAAACAGTATAGAAGCCCTTGAAAGAAGTATAATGTCAATGTAACATGAAACCCAACTATTGATGCTTGACAGCGAAGGCATTGGACTTAGCATGGGTGATTCACTTGTGCTCTTACTATCCGGCTTCATCATTTCTCGTTCCTGATTCTCTTTGCAAACTTTACATAAACACATGGGGCCAGCAGCATCTACTTTGAAAGAACTACCATTCTCCAATTTTTTCCCATCTGAATCTGTTATCCGAGCACCACAATAATGGCACATACTACACACCAAGCTCCAGTAATTTCACTCGATAATATTCTCTCCTACACCAATCTTAAAGCAAAATGACACCATTGTCAGCATAATAAATTTTCCTTGAGATTTGTAAACAACATCTATATGACTGTAAATTAAATAATTACAAGCAGTGAATCAAAAACCTCCAAGATTACATGCAGAAACATAAAATCCAAACAACCACTTGAAGGTGAATGAAGTTAACTCAACCGTATGATCCAGATAAAACCAGCAGAAAACAAAAACCCAAGAAACGCTCAAATGCAAAAGCAAAAACTCCACCCGGCCAACACAGCACCGTTCCAAATATTAAACCACTTTTAGATTTGAACATCAGCAACAAACCAAAATCCCCAGCATACTTATGAATACTAAATCCGGGTCTCACTAAAAATCCATCAGCCTCGGCGCCAAGAAAGACCCAATTTCAAAATCAAAACAAAAGAAAGAAGAAAGAAAGAAAGAAAGAAATTAAGAAAAACAAATTACTTACTGCAAAAGCAATCAAAGGGAACAAAGATTTGGATGGGACTTCAAAATCAATCCAAATTACAGAGTAGAGAGGGAGAGAGAAACGTTGGTGCTTGCTTTGGATGCAATTAATTGGGTGTGAAGCATTCAGAGAAGAGCCATGGAAGAGAAGAATGGTTCTACTTGGGCAAAGAGTCCAGAAGAGTTCAAAGTGACAAGAAAAAGAAAAAAAAAGAAATGGGAATTTATTTTGAAGCGAAAAAGGGGGAACCAAAATAAATGTGAGATAAATCAGAATTGCAAGAAAGGAGGAAAATTTAATTTTCTTCCTGTGGGACCCACACGAATTTTTAGTAATTAATAATATACAATTTTTTTAGTAATTGATTTATAATATTATTTAACAGGAGAGAGAGAGAGAAATCACGGGAATTTTGTGCCTAAAAAAATTAAATAAACCATTGTATTTTTATACGTATTATATTTGCAATAAATGGCATTTAATTTTTTTTTTACGTACAGCTGTACGCTATTCATGCTGGAACTGGAACTGGAACATTCTCGTATGAGTCTGGCTGAGGACATTCCTTTCTTCTTTTTTATATTTATGGAAAATTATTATTTTCCAGTTAGTTTCTTTTTTCTTTTTTTTTTGTGTATATATGTAATATTTGAATTTTTTTTGTTTGAGAATAAACAATAAACAAAGGAGGTGTGAGAGATTTGAACTCATAGCGTCTTAATTTACTTTAATATTTTGAATTAAATTATGTTCCTATCGAAAAAATATATCATTTTTACTTCTGACTCTTGTAAAGAAATGAGTATCACATGATTGGTAGTAGAATACAATTGTAGCTAAGCGGCTTTACAAATCTAGATGAAATAGAAGTGAGATTTAAAAAACATATTTTAATCTTGCTTTAAACTATACTTTAAACTTCATTTCAAACAGAAAAAACTAATACTTTGAACTTATAATAAAAACTTTGGCATAGCTATATTCCTGTTTTACTGAAAAAAAAATTATCATATCAATGAGATATTTAATTAGCGTCTATAATTTTAGGAAATTTATGTTATGGGTGAAATTAGCATATTAGACTCACCTAAAATGAGGTTAAAAAAGGAACAATGGGTCAAACTATCTGAGTCAAACCAATCAAATCGGATCACCAAACTAGACCCAAGCTGAACCAACTAGAAACTCCCTGGAGAGATATTGGGCACGAGAGATGTTTGACACAATCTTACTATTTGTGCAGATCTCTAATGTGTAAGCTAAGGTGTTCGTAGGAGTCCAGATTGAAATCATGGATCAACATTTTACATGCCAGCATTATGATCGAAAAATCATATATTCCACATATGACGTTCGAGTTGAAATGAGAGATATAGGAATGAATTGATACCATATCCGAATGAGAGGGATCCTGAGATCATGGAAAGCATAGTTAAGATTTAAAATAATTGATAGTTACTACCTATATAATGAGATGCACCTCCCTTTTCGATTGCTAAATTATAAAACTCCAAAGTTAATTAGCGTGCTTCACTTGGAGTGAGCGATGACAAAGCATGCTAAAAAAGGACTTGTGTTGGGTTTGTAGGAATGTGCCACATGCAGGAGATGTAGAGGAATGCCCGGAAAATTAAGTGTGTAATAATAAAAACTAAAAAGTCTGAAAAAAAAAGTGAGGAAGATATACTTGAAAGTTTGAAATTTTGTATGGAAATTTTTTTTAACTATTATAATTTAAGGGCAAAAAATTGTAATATTGTAGCAGGAGAAAACATCCGAATGGCATTATTTAAATTATAAAAAGAAATGTTAAATCAGTTAAGATATATATTGTGATGAGATTTGGAAATTTGAATTATCACTACCTTTGACTATATATGTTGTTCAACTATATATATGCACATATATATAATAGCAATAATAATATGTTGTAAGTTCTTTTAAAAAATAATAATAAATAAATAATTTAGATGTTGTAAGTTATACATAATCCATTCGGGTCAACAAATGGATCAGTTGTAAATTAGATATATTTTTTTTTCTTTTTCTCTCTTATAAGATTTAGTCAAAATGGTTTAAATAATAATGAAATAAATAAATCCAACATGGGTAATGGCTAGGCATCAACATTTGTCAACAAGTATTCTGGTCAACAGAGAGAGAAAAATAATGATTTATAACAAGAAAAAGTAGAGATGAATAAGAGCCGAATATAGCTTATCTTTGACAAAAACTAGTAAATTCGAATCCAAATTGTTTTACTAAAAAAAGGATAGAAAAATAAATGTTATAATTTTATAATAATAATTGTTTTAATATAATTAGCTAAGTTTTTTTTAAGTAGGCAGAGGATTCAAACGCATAACCTGTTGTTAGAGATAAGTGCTAATTACGCTGAGCTAAGTTCATGTTGACATATAATTAGTACGTTTGTATAGGAGTGTAATAAAAGTCAAGTATGAAATTATTTAAATAATTTTAAATATCAATAAATTGTTCGTTATATTATGTGTTCAATACAGAGTTTCAAATTTCGAGCAACACTATGTCGATGTATCGAGCACCTCGACATTGACATGGAGGAGAATGTCGTTTTTCCCCAATGTCGATGACATGTGGAGGAAATGTTTTTTTTATATACTTATAATCTATAAATTGATTTTTTTTAATAATTTGAAAAGATATACTCGCTACTGGTGTCGATGGATATTTCGGTTAAATAATTTGAAAATATATATATAGTTTGTTTGGGTGAGATAATGTAGGAATTGATTTTTTTCCCAAAAAAAACGCGTTTTCTTTTTTACCTTTTATGACGTTTTTCTTTTTGTTTTCAACAATTTTTACTATTAATTAGCGTCACAAAACCTCAAATTATAGTAGTGTTTGTCTCCATCTTTTTATCTCTTATAAAAAAGCAAACATCGTAACAAATAAGTAAATGTGATGAAAAAAAATCAAATCTTTTCGAAAACAAATTAAGGGGTTTCCCCATTTTTTCGGAAGACAGATTATATGTTTATTTGAATTAAAAGAAAAGATCATGTTTGATATTAGTTAAATTCTATCACACTATTTGTATATAATAAATTTTATTTTTCAAATTTTATACGTATTTCACATATCTTGTTTAATTATTGAACTAAATATTAGATTTGATTAGAAATTATTGATGAAACATAATCAATCAACAATAACTTTAATTTACTAATTCAAATAATTTACATGTAAGTATATACATGATTTTGTTCTGACGTTATCATCGCAACGACATTTTCATCGCAAATATATATTATTGATATATTTAGATATGATGATTAAAATTGAACAATTATGAGCTAATTAAGCTGCAATTAAAGTTTTATTTACTAATTCAAAAAATTTGCATCAATATCCATAATTTCCATATATTTTTTTTGAAATATCCATCGACATCAACATGTCCATCAACATATCCGTAAAATCGGAATATCGATATTTCCATCGACATCGATATTTTAAACCTTGGTTCAATATTTAAAGTGAAAGGTGAAAATTTTAATATGAAATAATGCTCGATAATATGATATTAAAAATATTTTAACTTTATATTTTAAACTTAATCTAGTATATACTTCATAATATATTAAAATTTTAAATTGTATTCAAATTATAATTTCTTACAAAGTTATGAAATTATAAATAGGAGTAATTATCTACTTAAAAAAAAGATGCTTTTTAAAATAATTTTTTTATTCATTACATTCACTCACTTGAAAGAAAAAAAAAATTACCCAACATCCTAATGAAGTCCCTAGTGGATCAACGCTTGTTATTAAAAGCCTAAACAAACTCACACAAGATAATTATAAAATAAGAGTCCGTTTGGATTAACTTTATGAGTGATTTTAGAGGGCCAACGATATTTAAAAGAAAAATAGAGTATCGGATAATAAATAAATATTAGTTTTAGATCGAAAAATCAAATTGGTTTAAAATTATTTTTTTAATAATCTATTGAAAAAGTGATTGATGGAGAATTACATAATTTAATTTTTGTAGAATCATTTATATATATATATATATATATATATATATATATATATATATTTTGCAACCAAACAAATTAGTGATAAAATCACTTTTAAGAAAATATAATCAAATACAAACAGGTGAATATTTTAATTAAAAATATGTTTACAAAAAAATATTTTAAGAAAAAACATGGGCTTCAAAAGCAATTAATTAGAAGATGTACCAAACTTATAAATTTCAACAATAATTCACTCCGATAATTCACTTCAATGGTTGTTTTCTCAAAAGTCTCATTAATTTTGTAACCATGTTTTTTTATCCTTCATTAAATGTGAACGATGAGCCAATCAATCAGAGCATAGCTTATCAGGTTAAGGCNTCAAGACTATAGTTACCTTTTCAAATGCATGTGAAAATATTTTTTTTTAGTAAATTACGTGGAGATGAAAATTGTTCAAAGTACAAAGTAAATTCTAAAAAATTTAGAGGGAATGAATTCAAAGTACAGTGGCGATTAAGATTTAATATCCTTTCTTTAGCAATCAAATGTATTATGATCGATCCATTTCTAATAAGTAAATTGGGCCCAGATGGTTTGCCATAAAAAAAATCAACGGTCAAGATTAAACTAAATAAAATTTTCTGAATTGTAATTAGTTATATATAATAAAAAAATAAAGAAAAAAAAATCACCCACCCTGTGAGCCGGTGGCCTACATAAAACTTTTGTTATGTCTGATCCCAAACGAGGCGGAAGTGGGGCCGTATTCGGAAATACATTTAGAACTGGGTGACTAATTATGAATACACAAAAGTACAAGGATGTGACTGCAAATAAATTGACTTTCCGTGGGAACGAGACGCTTGCCGAACGAAGGACGGCGCTTGTCGTTTGAGCGGAGGGAGGAAATTTCGAGGTAAAATCACTTACAGTCGTGTGTACAGTAAATTTCGTACACGCGGCGCTATCTTTTGGCCACGTGGCGGAACTGTGACTAACCGACCCTCAATCAGAAGGTTCGAAATGGCTTTCAATTCCTATGAAGTATGAAGAATTTTCTCCATTAGAAAGAATATATTTAGAAGGAATATATTTTAATTAAATCGATTTCTCTTTTTTCTTTTTTTTTTTACTTTTAATTATTGGTTTTAACTTCTATGGAAATATTATAATATGAAGAAAATGTTGATTACAAATG